CAGCATGGATTTTTACCAAAACCTATTAGTAATCAAATCTGCGCATTGGCCCAGAGCATCTATGCACCAAGTTTCATCAAAAACCAATGTATGGTTCTTGAGATAGCAGTGGAACAGACACACACACATACAGACACACTAACTGCAAAGACTCCCATTATGAGCTTCGCACATGGGAGTCAAAAACAGACACACACAGACTAATGAGTCAGGGATGCCAGTGCAGTGCAGGAAGTTTCTCTGCAAAAAAAAGCTTGGAAATTACATCAGCGCTCCTCCTATACGTTTCTTGAAAGTACATAAACTTGTAAAGCCCACCAAACTCAAGTCATGGTACATCATAGAAGGTGGTCCGTGTCTGGTTTTCAATGCAACACACAAACTCAATGAATTTTTTTTTTGGGTCATTGCATTATGAGCATGTTCAGTTTTGTTGTTTCACCACGCGTCATAAGAGTGAACAAGTCAGAATGTAATTTGAAACCAGAAATCAAACAAGCAGCCTGTCGGCCGAGATAGCTCCGCTGTTAGCAATGCACATTGCAATTAAAGAACAGAAAGTATCATTAGAAAATGAACAATATGTATAGTATCAAAGCAACAGGACTTACTGTTTTCAACAAGGATTCAAAAATATCACTTTTTACCAAAAATTACAAAAATAATCACCAAAAATAGAGAATTTGAGATTTTGACATGAAATGAACAAATCTGAGGAAGAACCATCCAAGGTACTTGCATATCAAATTTGAAAACATTCTGACTTGCGGTTTCGAAGAAGAAGTTGAAATTGTAAAGTTGACGCTGCTGGACAATCAGTAATATGAACAGCTCCGCTGTGTCGACAGCGGAGCTAATAAATCATATCGTCACGCATGGTGATACCTGTGTGCACCACTCGCTACACCTCTTGCATGATTTTGTCACGATTGTGCTAGTCACAGTGTTGACATCAAAGAGAAAGATATGCTCCAGTGGGCTTAATTCTTCCTATACCTGCAGCTGAGATTAAATAGGAATTTAAATTCACATTATCAGAGATAATTTTATTCAACAAACCTTCAATTTTCCATCGGTCCAAAACAACCTGCCTGTTGCATAGTCAATAGTTAAACCATTTGGCCACATCAAATTTTGACTCACTATGACTTCTCGATCACTTCCATCCATTCCAGCTTTTTCAATCTTAGGAACAACACCCCAATCACTCCAGTACATGTACCTTTAAAGGTTAATAAATAAATCATTAGTATAGGTAATAGAATGAAATGCTATCCATATAGGGTTTTGACGTCACAAGGCAGAGCCAAACTTGATTACATAATAATAATAATAACTTTGACATTACTCATTTTAAGTAGAACATAGTCAAATCTATAACTAAATAACAATACATAAACAAAACAAACAAAACAAAACAAAACAAAAAAATCCTAAAACAGTTTAACAAAATGGATTGGAAAAATCAGGGAATTGATAATGACTGTATCACATTACCATACTTTCTTTTATAAAAATGCCAAGCTGTATTAATGTGGAAGTGTTGCCCATAATGTATTTAAAATTGAATCTTCATCCATCAAATGGGAATTAACAGTTTTATTTTTAATTGAGTCAAACAATTTGCTCCTAATTGTAATATGTTGTGGGCATTTCATAACATAATGGAATTCATCCTCAATTGAATCTGTGTTGCATCTTGTACAGATCCTGTGTTCAACCTTAACCTTTGGCCTTAAGTGCCTGCCTTTCTCAATCATTACGGGATGGTCACGTATTCTTAGTTTGCATATTCTTTTTCTTATTTCACCATCCTTATTATTTATATACTCCTCTATTTTAAATTCTGTTTTGAATAATTTATATGTTCTTAGTTTATTCTGTTTCCCTGTCCCATCTGTATTTATAATTTTTTTCAATTTGAATCATAGTCTCTACAGTTACATAAAGCTCCAAATAACTATTTTTTCACTCTAATCAATATGGTGATTATAACATGAGCATACTGTGATCTGATTGGTGGAACAGCCCGGACATATTAGAATTAATAAATAAAATCACAATACATATGTGGTGTATTGAAATGTGTTAAATTTTACCAATGATTCATAAGATGGTATACAACTTGTGTGATATAATATACCTCCCAATTAGCAGATTATAAAACAGGAAAACAATTGTGAAAAAACAAGGTGGTTTTCATTTCTAAGGTGCTTGCTTGTTTGCAGGGTGCATTTTTTTGCATTTATCTGCTCATCTTAGAGGCTTTTGGTCAAAACAAAATTAAATTATCTATCTGACCACAGTTAACTGTGATCTCACGTTTAAATGATACAAACTTACCTGTGTTCAGGATCCAGTACAATAGCTCTTGGTTCTTCTAATGCTGTTTGGATCAATACTTTGAGTTGTTTATCAAGAGTTGCCACTACTATTTGACCAGGAGTACTTTTAGTAAAGTATATCTGTTTTGTTGTCCAGTCAAAAGACATACCTTCTATTAAACCAACTCCTGCAATATAGTATCAACATTTATTGTACACATCTTTTTTTCTTTCTGTTCTTTAATTTAGATTCAATGGATTCAACTCAAGTAAGTGGAACACCAAAAATGTGCCACAGACTCAATGTAGAGGCCAATTCCACTAGTACTCTTGGTGAGTGTGCTACAGACTCAATGGAGATGCTAATTCCACTTGTACCCTGGGTGAGTGTGCCACAGACTCAATGGAGAGGCCAATTCCACTAGTACCGTGGGTGCATGTGCCACAGACCCAATGTAGAGGCCAATTCCACTAGTACCCTTTGTGAGTGTGCCAGACTCTGAAGAGGCCAATTCCACTCGTACCCTAGGTGAGTGTGCCACAGACTTCATGGAGAGGCCAATTCCACTAGTACCTTTGGTGAGTGTGTCACAGACTTCATGGAGAGGCCAATTCCACTAGTACCCTTTGTGAGTGTGCCACAGACTCTATGGAGAGGCCAATTCCACTAGTACCCTGGGTGCGTGTGCCAGACTCCATGGAGAGGCCAATTCCACTAGTACCTTTGGTGAGTGTCACAGACTTCATGGAGAGGCCAATTCCACTAGTACCCTTTGTGAGTGTGCCACAGACTCTATGGAGAGGCCAATTCCACTAGTACCCTGGGTGCGTGTGCCAGACTCCATGGAGAGGCCAATTCCACTAGTACCTTTGGTGAGTGTGTCACAGACTTCATGGAGAGGCCAATTCCACTTGTACCCCTTTGTGAGCGTGCCACAGACTCCATGGAGAGGCCAATTCCGCTAGTACCCTTGGTGAGTGTGCCACAACCTCAATGGAAAGGCCAATACCACTAGCACCCTGGGCGAGTGTGCCACAGACTGCATGGAGAGGCCAATTCCACTAGTACCCTTGGTGAGTGTGCCACGGACTCAATGGAGAGGCCAAATCCACTGTATTGTGGGCGAGTGTGCCACAACCTCAATGGAGAGGGGTCAAAGATGAGATTCATTCACAAACAAATGCGAATTTTGGGGAACCTTGGCTCAAATATGCACTTTTGTTCAACCAGGATAGTGCATTAAATGGCCATAATGATGTCATAAAAAAATAGTCACAGTTCCAAAAATGAAATATAGTTCCCGTGGCAACATGTACCATCACCAAACAACAACTGTACAAACATATTTATCAAATAAAAATATACAATTAACTATTAAGAGGTAATCAAGCAAAAATACCTGCTAAAAGAATACTGGCAGTGGCAGTCTTCTCAACCAATGAAATTTCATAAATACTTTGGTCCGTTAAATTAGCATAATAAATGTGCTGAGTCATCCAATCAAAATCAAGCGCAGATAACATAGGGTTCCCTGATACGATAGTTTGATATTCAAGCTGAGAATGAAGACTGAATATTCTGACTTCACTCTTGTCAGTAAAGATGAGTTTAGATTCAGAACCTGAAAACAAATAGTGCCATCAGTCTTAATATTTTTCAGAATATATCCTGCATAAATTACTAAAAGAAAGCTGAATGCACATTTCTGAAAGGTCCACCTGAGGTACCTATACTGTGAAAGGGTTAATTATTCACTGGGTTTTAATTTTGCTTATTTTGCTGACTGGAAAATGTGCTAAATTAAAACCCAGTGAATATGTAAAATTTAGCATAGAACACATTATCTAAATGATAAAACCATGAATTTAAAACCCACTGGATATGCCTGAAGTGAAATTTATAACTGGTGAATATTAATCATATATACACTCATGTAATATCAAAACACTCAGACATGCAGTTTTCAACAAGAAAGTTTTTTTTTTCATTAAACTTAGAGAATTGAAGTTATTCTCTCAAATGAACAAATCTTGGTTAGAACCACTTGAGGTAAGTTTCAAAGCAGTTTGAGTGACAGTTTTCAAAAATGTGAAATCAACACCGACAGAAAATCAGTAAAATGACTAGCTCTGTTCAACTGTCAACATTTGAGATACCACTAGTAATAAAGAAAACAAGCAGCCTGTCGGCTGAGATAGCTCCGCTGTTAGCAATGCACATTGCAATTAAAGAACTGAAGATATCATTAGAAAATGAACAATATGCATAGTATCAATGCAATGGGACTTGCTGTTTTCAACAAGAAGTCGAAAATATCACTTTTTAGCAAAAATTACAAAAATATTCACCAAAATTAGAGAATTAAGGATATCATTACGAAATGAACAAATCTGAGATAGGTCCACATGTAGTACCTATATATGTAATATAAAAGCAATTGGACTTGCTGTTTTCAACAAGAAGTCGAAAATATCACTTTTCACTAAAAATGACAAAAATATTCACCAAAATTAGAGAATTGAAGCTATCATCATGAAATGAACTAATCTAAGAAAGGTCTACCCAAGGTACATATACACCAAGTATCAAAGCATTCAGACTTGTAGTTTTCAAGATGAAGTCGAAAAAGTATAACATTGACAAGGACGACGGACAATCACTCGTATGATAAGCTCCGCTCGACAAAGTCGACAGCAGAGCTAATAAAGGGAAATAAAACCTGAGGCATGATTCTTTTGTTTTTTACAACAAAGCAATAATAAAGAGACGGATAATATTGAAGTATATTCCAGTTTTCCAATTTTGGTTCATGCATGTGTGAGATAGGTTTAGATTGTTGTACACGTGCATTATCACAGGCTGGCCAAACTGATGTTAATATTTCTAATTTTCCGACTTCCTGCAAAGGGTAGCCATTAAAAGGTTGAACCTACCTGTTGCCTTACAAGATACACCATCCACTTCTAACAAGTAGCCTTGTTTACAACTACACTGATATGAACCAAGTGTATTTGCACATTCATGACTGCAAATACCAAAACTATCAATGCATTCATTGGTGTCTGAAAAAAATCAATGTACACTTAATTTATTAACTCGAACAGAATTTCTATAATTTACAATAACAAGAAGTCAATGTGAAGAGTGATGAGGATTGACACAACAAAAAGGAATTACACAATGAGATGAATGGGATGTGATGAGACTAGAATGTATGCGAGACAAGAATGTACAATGTGATGGGATGAGAAGGCACAACGTGATGGGACGAGAATGCACAAAGTGATGGGACGAGAATGCACAAAGTGATGGGACGAGAATGCACAAAGTGATGGGACGAGAATGCACAAAGTGATGGGACGAGAATGCACAATGTGATGGGACGAGAATGCACAATGTGATGGGACGAGAATGCACAATGTGATGGGACGAGAATGCACAATGTGATGGGACGAGAATGCACAATGTGATGGGACGAGAATGCACAATGTGATGGGACGAGAATGCACAATGTGATGGCACGAAAATGCACAATGTAATGGCACGAAAATGCACAATGTGATGGCACGAAAATGCACAATGTGATGGCACGAAAATGCACAATGTGATGGCACGAAAATGCACAATGTGATGGCACGAAAATGCACAATGTGATGGCACGAAAATGCACAATGTGATGGCACGAAAATGCACAATGTGATGGCACGAGAATGCACAATGTGATGGCACGAGAATGCACAATGTGATGGCACGAGAATGCACAATGTGATGGCACGAGAATGCACAATGTGATGAGACGAGAACGCACAATGTGGTGGGACGAGAACGCACAATGTGATGGGACAAAAATGCACAATGTGATGGGACGAGAATGCACAATGTGATGGGACGAGAATGCACAATGTGATGGGACGAGAACGCACAATGTAATGGGATGAAAATGCACACAAGAATTTGAATGCACAATGCGACAAGGATGTGCAATGTGATGAGAACCTTCTATCATTCTTACCTTGACATGTATGATTATCAAGTCCAAGTGAAAATCCTAGAGGACACTCACAACGGTATGACGTTGGGATAGTAACACAAATGTGACTGCATCCACCATTATCATCATCACATTCGTTATGTCCTAAGAAAAATGAATGATGAAATACGACAACCACTCAAACCAGTAATACACAAGATATTCTTTTAGAATATTTTCTCATCTTTAAGTATGAGCAACTTTTTTTTTTATTCCAATCCTTGATTTTGTTTTCATGATTTCAACAGCGACTGTATTTTTTATACTCAACATCCTGATAAGGTCAGACTTTTATTATCCTTTGTTTTGCGTACCCGGCGAATGAACAGGAGCCGAAAATGAAAATTTTATTTTTGCATAATTTCTCGCGCCCGCCGACTTGTAAGCACAAAAAATTGCTAAAAAAATATTATTTTTATCTTCATTTTTGTACCGCCCGCCGCATAACAAATCCATGATCAAAGTACCGAAGTCTCACGCAGATGAAAAACAAGGTTATACATGGAATACAATTTTATTTCATCTGTCCGATCAATGATCTCACTTACAATTCTTTGAAAATCATACAAATCTAATGGAAAAAAAAAAATTTATTTTTTTTCCCGCCCTCCACAAAAAAACTGGCTTATAAAAACCCGAGAAACACGGAATAAAAAAAAATCTGGCCTAACAAAATTATTACTACATTCCATGGACTACTTACCACAATTTTCATCACTTTGATCACCACAATCATCATGTCCATTACAGACGTATTCCATCAACACACAGTTCCCATTGCTGCATTCAAATTGTGTCTGCAAACATTGTGAAGTATCAGCAATTGCTGAAAATACAATAAAAAATACGAGGAGTAAATACCCTGTAAATATATTATTTGATAATTTTGCGACTTAATTCACAGCGAGAAATTCAACCGCAAACCACCAAATGCATGCCCTGAACATGCATAATGTTAACACAAACATACTTGTACCAGGAGTTTTGTCATGTGACCCACTATTCTGTCAATCATTTATTCCCATAAACCCGTCTGTCTTTATGCCAATTGTAAACTG